TCAAGTAATTGTATACAAACAGGCAATGTATACGTACACAGATAGTAATTATACCCAATAACTACGTATAAAAAGACGAACTCGTCATCTACAACTTTGTGATTTAAAAAAGCAAAAAAGGTATAAAGAATGTGATTTGAAAAATTGTGCATTAAGGGTCTTTTCTAGTTTTTTTTATTAAAATCTTTGCTTTATTACTTAACACAAACCATAAAATATACAATGTAATAATAATAATTTACCGATAAATTTTCTTTTTCAAAGCGTACTAGTGTTAGTTAAAAGCCTATTTGGTTGAAGTCGAATAAAGCATCCCTCCCTTTAATTTTGCTAATAACCTAAGATGCTCTGCGATTCGTATATCTTAGGTGAGAGCCGGTACATGAATCTTCTTTTTAGAAAGATCAAATCTTCAGTCCAAAGCGAGTAAGTATATGGTAGTGTGAGTAGGAAGTTATGTTCAGCATTCAATATTCTTTTTATCTGACATATTATTTCGTATTGTTACCGAAGTCCCAAACCCAGTTCATTACAGCGAATTAATTTTCCCACAAAAATAAATTCCCTAGACAGGGAAAAATCAAGTACACATACGTGGCGCGTCATGCAGCTGCCGATCAATGAAAAAGATTAGCGGAAAAGCAGGTTAACGGATTAAAAATGAAGCCATGAACTCTAGTAAGAGTAATACGCTTGTATAGAATACATATAGAATAGAATATTTGCGGAAGGCAGAGATAGTCGGACAAGAACATTTGAGTCGAAAAAGAATATTTAAGTATCAAGAGTATTGCTCAAAATAAATTGTGAATAATCCCACTCTTGAGGAAATTAATTGTAAATAAAACAATGTTGAAGTGAAAACGTGGAAGTGTAATTCTCTTAGAAAAACCACGATCTAGCGATATGAATCGCATTTGAAAAAAGCGAATTTCGTAACAGTATCGTATTTGGGTTTTGAGAGAATCATGAAAATCACCAGTTTCTAGCTAACTCGGCAGATTGACTTGATTCTCAAACATAATATTAGTTTGGGGAAAAAGAAATCCATTATTTTTTCGGTAGATGGCTGCACTGATAGATTTCTCGTAAAGTATCGATCAAACAATTTCATATTTATGCTCATTGGAAAGGTGACATTTCGCAGTAAAAAAAATTCTTTTGCTGGAATCTAGGGAGGATTGTGAAAATCGACTACTAGAGTTTTTTGCAAATAGAGACCAGGACTTCTATGAGAGAGGCATTTTGAAGTTACCTTTAAAATGGCAACAATTCATACAACAAAACGGTGCATATTTGACTCAAATCGGACAATCCGAAGCATGTTAAATAAAGTCCTGAAGTTCATATAAAAATAATGGATTTCTTTTTCCCCAAACTAATATAACGTGAGCGAGGAGAGAGATTTCAAATGTTTGTTCTACCGGAACAAGTTTTGAGACAAACGTTCGAAGAATGATTGACAAGAAAAATATGAAGAAAAAGAGAAATTTTTGTTTCTACACAAAAACTTTCGAGATCCTTTTTGCGGTCAACAGGCTGACGAACAGAGAATTAAATCACACAAACTCATTTAGTTCAAAACGAACATGATATGCATTTCCACACATATATGCTACACATGTTTGACAAATGTATTTTCTCGCAGGAAATAGTCTTGACAGTCAAAATTTCATATTCAACTTAAATTTAACGTTCCATTCTGGCGAATTGTTATATATAACGGTTGCATTTACCACTTAGAAGTTAAAAAAGTGAATATCTGCTCAGTCAAGCATTACAAAGATTTTCAAAAAACTTTTTCTCTTGATCAATGTGTGCATTACTTCGTGTAATTATTTTTCTTTTATTTCGTGCGACGACTTGCCTATGTGCCCGCTCCATATCTGACTTGACTTTCTCGAATTCGTCAAATTTAAAGCATCGAAACTTATGCAAAGCACCCTGAGCAACATCAGAGCAGCAGAGACAAGCATCGGTCGTAAGCATTTGTCTTTTGCGGTTTCGTGACGTAACCATAATAACCGAACAAATATTGGAGTGAGAATTGTACATTGATTATTTTTCTTTTAGAACACCAAATTTGAAAGCAACAAAAACTATGACAAGAAACGACATTGTTTTCTCTTAGCAGTAATGACCGTTTGACCAACGCATATTAATATTGATGTGCTAAGTTCTATGCTACAGAGGAAATCTGCAGCTGGATATAATTAATCTGAAATTAAAATACATTTGTAAAATGCAAATTTTCATTATTTTTTATCTGCATATTTGGCGCAGCTATTTATCAATGCCTTATGAAAATATTACCAACCGTTCTACTAATAGGTGCATAGTCAAAGCCAAACGGCGATTTCCTTTCATTTAGTATCTTGATTAGTGTCAAGGCCTTCTAGGATTTCTATTAAGTTCATTTTCAATTCGAAAAAACAATCATTGGGCAAAAATCTTCTACTTCTTACTATTTACTACTTGTCTGTTCTACGAATGTATCAACAAACTTAATATACTAGCTCGGTTATTCACTAAAAATATACCAGACTTGATGTTTTTAGTAATTCTCATGGCATACGCGTACAAATATAAAAAATATATATTAAGTAAAACTTTAATTTGAATTAATATTAATATGACTGCTTCTTGTCGAAAACTGGTTACGCTTGAATGCACTGGTATGTGTTTTCAAAAAAAAAGTAAATATAAAAAATTATAACACGATAGAATATAAAGTAGTAATAAGTAAGAGTTGACTTATTACAACCTCTCTGAGAACTGAATTGAAATGTTGTAAAGAAAAAAGTTGACATATTAATGATTTTTACTTAAATTTGCTACATTTCTACTAAATTTTATAGCATGCGACCAACTTAGAATCTTATTCGATTATCAGCTTGCTGCTGCTATTGTTTTCATTCAAGTATCATAAATTTTTTTTTATTTTGCATTTAGCTGTCACAGTGTCTGTCATTGTATATCAAAGTTCCAAAACAAAGTTCTGATAAAATAAATGAACTTTTATTCAGTTTTCACCTTCACTTGTTTTTTAGTGAATTTCTTTTACAACAAACGAATTTTTCACCCGGATTATTAATATGTTGCACAGTCTTTCTTAAATTAAATGTGGAACTCATGGAATTTTTTTAAAATTGACAAAAATATTATTCTGAAAATCATATCAGAGTTACTTAGTTGCCGAAAGAAAAGCGAAAGCGACAATTTCGAACCGTTAACAACACTTGTTGATACCGCCCCAAAGTCCTATCCACCCTTATGCTTAAGCAGGCAAAGCAATGGTTACTTTATCAAAAGTTTTATATAGCTCATGAACATAAAGTTTATTGGAAAATCTATAGTCTTTCTCTGTGCATAGGCTGCAAATGTTAAGGGAAAGTTGAAAAAATGTCAGGACATAACCTCAAAACAAGTAAATCAAGTTAAAGCACATCTATGGTTATGCCTTAAACATGGGCTATTTTCTGCTTTACGTCGTACAATGGATATCCATCTCTTTACACTAGTTGTTAACTGAGAGTATATCAACGTCGACCAAGACTTTCAGGATTTAAACAACCTTGGTATACGCTCTAGCTAAAATGTAGAACGATGTGAATGATTTTTTCTCTTTTAGTGGAAGGACAACATATCGAAATTTTGCCATATTTTAGAGTTTAGTGAACTTTTTATGTTTTATAGACAAGCTTTTAAGCGGACCTCTCTCGAACTTGACCCATGAGCTTTAAGTCAAAGTAAATACAATAGGTCTTAGGTTTTGATCACTATTTCTGCGACCATCGGATAATCAAGAAACACATGGATAGATGAAACGTCGGATTTAGTTGTGTGTATAGCTGAGTAGATTTAGAAACTAAAGGTGTACTGCATTGCACGCTTCGTAAAAGGAAGCCCGACGAAGTGTATGTGCTCTTGACCATAGTCAAACGGTGAATCCATCTAGGCATGCCTTTCCTTCCGTCTATCAGTCTTTACGGATTTATGTAATATTAAATAGTGAGTCTATCTAGGCATGTTTGCCCTTCCATCTTTCAGTCCCTACAGATTTATGTGGTCAAGATTCTTCCGATCGCGAAAGTTAAGAGGTCGGCTTTATATTTGCAAAAACGTGAGCGCTTGTTACAGGCAGGATTGTATCGAACTCCCGCTTTCGGCCTCTTAATAGAAGCAAAATATATCAAAATTATGGCATATTTTAGAGCTTATTGAACTTTTTACGCTGTGTAGATATATTTTTAAGCGGACCTCTGTCGAACTTGACCAATGAGTTTAAACTCAACAGATTTTAACTATCGGTTACTATATTTGCGATCATCGGATAGTCGAGGAACACACGGACAGATGTAGCGTCAGGCTTAGCTAAGTATATATCTAGATCCATATCCTAAAGGCGATGCATGCAGCGCATCGTTCTGTTGTTGAAAGTGAAAAGCGAAAAGCAAAGTTACTTCCATTAATGCCTCCAATGCGTTTAGAAATTTTTGAAAATAGTTTTTTTCAAAATTCAGGAAATTAAGAGTTAATGATTGACAAAATATCGTCAAAAAATTCTTCTCATAAATTAATTCAGTTATAAAATAGATAATTAATTATGTTACTGTTTATGTATGCGATTATAAAAAAATCTTATAATACTTTATAATGAAAATTAAAATCTCTTCTAAGATTTATTGAAAACTTATGCATTAATATATGTACGTAGACGTTGAGAGAAATTGAAAGTTATGTTTATATGTATATATGTATATGAATATAAATTTATATATACACACGTCGAAGCAAAAAAAAAAAAAAAACGGTCAAACAAACGGTAATAAATATAAATGAAAAGGTAACGTTAACTAGATATTCAGTCATTTTAAAATATTGTCGCGAACAACACGTTACGTACGTTAAGCGAACACATAACCGATCAGTGAATGTTTTAGGTATTAATAAATATCTCTTAATCAAAAAAAAAATAAATAAATAAAAAATAAATAAATAAATAAATGAATGGAATTTTTATAAGAAAAAAATTATATCGAAACATTTGTTTTCAAAAACTGTGTCATATAATTCGATGTTGTAAACGGAAACAAACCATGTTTTTCGTTTTTATCGCATAAGCGAATAACATAACATTTATAATACGTGGTATACTCTGTGCTACCGGTGTTTTTTGAAAACCGTGCAAAACAGTGGAAATTCATTAAAATTAGTGCAATTGTTGACTCAATTTTGAGAAGACGAACTTGAACAATAAACACATATATACAAATGTAATAAAAAGTGTTTATAATAAAAGGCATATTTCAATTGATTTCGTTAAAATGAAAATTTCAAATATTTTGCATAAAAATGGTTCATTAACATTAAGTACAGCGCAGCATACATCAAAGGATATCTCCAGCTCGGATACAAGTAATAAAACAGGTTTGGAAATACACATAAATAGACGATATTATCTCTTGACAATACGCACACAGTCAAGTTTGCTTAAATTGTTTTTCATTTCAAAAAACTGTTGAAGTCTTAAAATGTCTTTGTTTCTTTTAATTTTTGATTTTTAACGTTTGAAGGGCTTTTTTAAAAGTCAACACAAGCATAAACATGATGAATTTTTTTTGAAAGTTTTAACAGTAAATTCATTAAGAAATTTATTTATTATATTAAATCACGAAAAGAAATTAAAATGAATTAAAAATTATTGTTGAGCGAAGCCAGCCATTAAATATACTTCTGCATCTTCATGTGCCGTCATCATTGAATATTAAAAAAATAGATTTCGTTGCCAAGTGAAGGTTCATTTTCAATGCGCACACTTATACGGGAAAGAGATTACGAAAATTACATTTACATACATATAACATTTTTGTTAAGGAATTTATTATTAATCTTTAATTTTATATCGTTATAAAATATTAAAAATTCCATCTTCCTGCCAAATAAAGATTGATTTTTCTTAACAATTCCCTCAAGAAATGGGGGTTCAAGTAATCGCTCTATGTGGTTAAAACTTAAAGCAATAGATTTACATTTGAAAGGACTATTTCGGACCAATTTTTATAATAATGTACCGAAAATTATAATTTGCTCTCATATAAAGACTTATTTTTTAATGGGAACGTGTACGGGGCAAATTCACAAAAAATAGTTCTATTCGATATATAATTTTCCTCAACCCATGTGATACACCTAAATAATATTATTGAATGATTTGTGTTGAAAAGTAGGATGAAAGAAACATTACTTCACGTGTTCGCCTAAATATGATTCGAACCAAGACATTTTCCCAAGCGCTCATCTACGAATTTTCATCAAAGTGCTTCGTAAAAAGACAACCTGGAGGATATATATACATATATACATAAGTCATATTGAAAATTCTCTGCGGCCTTTTCCGCGGATATGGTTTTGGGCCTGTATATTGGGCAACACTCACCTGATTGTCTCCAGCGGACATGTGCTTAAGAGGTGACATTTCAGCATACATTTTTTGTGAAGATAGTTTTCCAATTCTTTACTCTTGTAAAAAGTTATATTGATTTGAAAATGTGTAAAATATCGTTATGTGATATTTTTTTGCTATAAAAAAAGTTAAAAGGCTGCAAAAAAAAACATTGTGAAGTATACGAAGAGAATGCTGCGAATGAACGAACGATCCAGGAGTGATTTGCTCGATTTTTTTCCGAAAATTTTGATGTCAAAAATGCACCCCGCAGTCACTGAAATAGTCGATGAAATGGAGCAAGACCTGCACTCAAGCTGTCAGGAAATAGCGGAGTCATTAAACATAGGAGTCACTAAATAGTTTGAAATCATTTAAAAAAAGAACAGGTTGTAGATGGAAGTTCGAAACTGTGGAAAAAACCGCGACGTCTTTTCAATATGACTTAATGCATATGTATGTGAGTGACAATGTGTCAAGTCTTCTTGAGGATAGAGTAGAAAAAAATCAATTTAATATATCCGAGTAGATAAGAGTCGCGACTACCAAGTCCGTTTTCACGGCTTCAAATCTTAATATGATTTAAATATGCTTGACTAGTGTGAATATTCTATAGAAAGGGAGACATAGTTTATTGATTGGACGCATACGAACTAAACTGCGGCCATTCCCTTTCGTATTCTCTTTTTCCTAACTTCTTTCGAACCATCATTTTGTTACACGTATATGTACGCGGTATTTCCTGAGTGATTGGTCACTCTGCGTACATAAAGCGCGATTTTGCGATAAAGGGGAATGAGTGAATAGAACGATGCGAAAATTTTTTACTGCGATAAACAATGTATTTCAAAGAGAATAAAAAAATACTCGTTAAGACGCTAGGATGGATAGAGGTAAACGCGGACGAAGGATTAATTAGATGAATTTAGATGAACGCGCTGATGTACTAAAGCCAGGAGATACAAATAACTACGTAATAGACAGATGCTTATACGGATAGAAGAACATTTAGAAAAAAGTAGATATTACATCGAATATGATATGGATATAGGGACAGACGAAGAAACGAACCTTTGTAGGTTTAAACAGATTAAAATTTCAAAGGACAAAGGGAAGTCGAAATGACACGTCTAAGATGCGATATATATGTATAGATTCAAAAACTGTTAATAAAATCACGCTTATTAATGAAATATTTAAGATAAAGTATATGTTGTACATCTCCGCTATACTTTTTATGATCTGTCCATCCATACAATCTTGCTTCTATATCTTCTATAGTCTTCAAGAATAACCGATTGCTTTGAAATTTTGAAGCATTTGCATACGGCCCGGATTTTGCGTAGAGTTGGCGTCAGAATTATGGCACCTCTCTCAGTGTAAGGTTTACAGGCATGTAAGGACACAATGAAACATATAGAAAACATAGTAATAAATTTATTAATTATTATTATTAATTATAATTATTTTAGCGAGATGGAATCGAAGCCGATCTTTCTTATAATGGGATGCTTAGATTTGTTCGATTTTCTTCAACCTCTTCTTGCACTTTTTATAGACAGAGCTAAAGCAACGCATGGTCCGATACAGATTGTTGTACGTAATGTTTCTCAATGCTCTACACCATTTGTGGGGTAGATTAAGTTTGTGCAGATTCATACAGCACACAGAAGGACATAAAGTGTACCCATCTTTTATTATTCAAGTCAATTCTGAATCGTTTTCTAAAACACTTTTTGAATCAATCTAAGCTTATCTATGTATTCGTTCGTCTAATTTCTTTGTGTTAACACAAAAATGAGGGCTATTGGAAATATTTTGGATTGGACCACCTCGTCTACCACTTTCCATTTAAACTTCATTGTTTTGAAGAGATGTTATATGAATAACCGTAGGACGGTGTAGACTATTTGTTAGTGAACCATGGCCCACTATAGCCCATTTTACTTGTTTATTGTAAAAAAAAAAAGAAACATTTTTTATATGTAGAGTTGAACTCGAAATATTTAAAAGATTATTTCTAGTTTGAAAATTCCCTTTTGCGCTTGTTTGCTTATTCGGGTTTTATCATGCGATTTCCTTTTTACTTATTTTTAAAGTTTCAATTCGCTTAAGTTAAATATTTTATCATAAGACATTCCATGCGTCATAAACGCCTGTAAATCAATCAAATTATTTATGAAAGATTACTCTACGATAATGTGCTCCAAAGTCAGCGTGCAATTTCAATTATCATGATAAGCCTAAAATTGATTGTTCTGCAAAAAAGAAAAAAAAAAAAAAAATCGATCTGACATACGTATTTCCTAACTCTCCCGTGCCCATAAGCGATAGCTTAAATTAATCAATTACGCATTTTCGTTAATAATTTTTATGGTAATATATAAGACCTAGACATTTGTAATCAACTAAAGATATCGCAATATGAAAGAGGCGCGAACTTACAAAAAAAAAAAAAAAAAAAAAAATTATGTTATATTTGTTTTTTATAAATTTTCTAAAGAAATTCGAATAATTGTTTATAGTTTCATGTTTCTATGTTTATAAGAAAATAAAGGCTATTATCATATTCATTTCTCCTTATAAAGTATATTTATTTGTCAGTACAAGAAAATAATGAAATTAATATTCTTGTCACACGAGCGTAGAAAAAAAGAGGTGAAGACAGTCAATCATCATCACACAAGCATTGACTTTTCTTTCAAATTTGAAAAGAAAGGCAAGTAAATGCCTTTTTTTACTTTTATAATCAATTCTTCAAAAGAAATTTTTTTTTTGTACAATTTTAAAGCTTTTAAAATATGCCTAAAAGTTTATATTTAATCATAATAAAGAACTGTTTTCTATCAAAAATAAATTTTATGCTTTCTTAAGAAGCTCGTGATAATGACAACTATTAGTTATTATACCCTACACCACTTACGGTACCGGTTTATGTGTATGCATGTAACACTCAAAGGAGCTTAAGGTAATTCTTATTACATCGATCGATTCACAGAATGCCTGTCTGTCCATCGTCTATCCATCGTCCATCTGTCTATCTGTCCGTTGATGTCCGTCCTTGCAATTTTGTGTTCATTCTACAGGCTAAAATTTTCCGATATATTTTGATGAAATATGGTACACAGACATGTCTTCACCGAAGGACGAAAGAGATTGAAAATCGTTTGAATCGGACATCTTTTGCGACCGTTTCCCATATATCGCCTTATTTTGGAAAGTCGTTATATAAAAATATTTTGTTATATTAAGAATTTGGCGACAAAAATTACTAGGTAATGGTGTTTCGGTATTCAAAATTGTTGTAAAAAGGTTGGATCGGATGGTGCAATTTTTCAAACCCATGCCCATAGAAAGAGTATCTTTGTATGGCAAAAGGGACTGATTTGCAATATTTCTTGATGGAAATTACTTCATAATAATAGTTTGACATAAGAATTAACCTTGCGGCAGTTGGACAACCTTAGTCTATTTTTTGGATCCCATTCGAGACAAGAGTTCCAATAAAGTCTTTGTTTAGGTTTTGATTTTTATGATGAAAATTGCTTCGTAAGTGTAATTTGATATAAAGCTTGTATCAAGTTTTGACCAAGTGCATCCATTTTTTTGAGATTGTCGCATACGCGGGGTGTTATTAAACAGTTACAAATAAGTATAATATTAAATTTTAAATCGTCAGAAGGCTCGAATTTATAATATTTCATAATAATAGCGTGTAGGAACGTAGCATACAAATTAGCCGTACCACATAGGCCTATCTTTTTGACCCCTTCATATACGGGTACTCTTGTGAGAAGCAAGCTCTTCTATGGCGACAGTGTAATTTTTACTTTTTTATGACGGAAGCAACTGAAAAATAATAAAATTTTTGACAAGTAAATTAAGATTTCCACCGTAGTTGATATATTGACCATCCGCCGATATGAAAAGTATTTCTTTAGATAAAAATAATACGTACTGCCACGAAGCTGATATTAGGCGAGTA